TTGAAAGTTTTTTTTTTTGATTAACCATAAATTTACCTTCTTTTCCACCTTTCCCTTAAGTATAGCCCACAAATTCTTGATGAGATTGATATCCAGTGAGTAAGAAGGCCAATCAAGAATTCGAATATCACGGTGATGAAAAAGATTGATTATTTCGCCTGCATTATGAATTGGAGAGTTGTCCTATTGAAAACGCAACCTATAATCTGCTACGGAAATATAGGGAAAAAGGTTCATTTCAAGAATTTCTTGATATTTTTTAGCATTAAAGTTTTCAGTGAACAAGACAAGTGCAATTGGTCCTTGCACACTAAAAGCATCCCAAGCATGAATCTTATAGGGATGCTTTACCATACTTTTATGTGGTCACGATTAGAGATAGGAGCTGTAACTAGCTGTAACTCTGTTACAATTCTCTGATTGACTGTTGCAACTCTGTCGCAATTCTCTAATTGGCTGCTGCAAGCCACAATTAGTTGAGGAGTCATCTTTAGTCGCAATATTCTATGACGGTATCTTATTAGCTGAGTATTTCTGAACATTTGGAGGGTTGTTTCATCAGAAAAAATCATGTAAGACCAATTTTGATGGACATGTTTCTGTGCCCATTCAAGACAAGCTGCAATATGATGAGGCTGTAAAAGAGGGACCCGTAGTGGATGATAAACATCAAATCAAAGATTTTTTTTTAAGGTACGTTGAATTGTATGAATGAAAACTTTCAAGTTAGGATCTTTTTGTTTAAGTCTTTCAGTCATTTCAGCTGCAGTGATGGCATTATTGATCTGCACTAATTGGCCAAGAATGCGATATTGCTCAACTGTGAGAATTGGGAATCTTCCAGATCTGGGAAGTGGTATAATACTTGATGATTTTTTAATCTGATTGATTATATTATATATCATAAATTTAGGAAAACCTGTTATTCGCATAATTTCTGCAGATTTCCAGATATTATTTGTCCAAAGCTGACTTACCACCATTCTTTGTGCTTCGTGCTTGAAAATGGGTGGCATTTTTTTTTATTTTTTTATTAATGGATGCAAAAACTAATGACAAAAATATTTACGTTATTATATTTATTATTAAACAAAGCAATCCCAATTTTATACACGTATTAGTTTAAAATTGATAACATTACATGATGTTTTGTGCACCAGATCGATATTCCGAATATTTATGTTGACCACTGTATCTTAGCTAGTGAATTAAAAAAAGTAAGAAGTTAATAAGTTAAGTAGACAGTTAATAAGTTAGTTATTTAGTTTAGTTTGAGTTCTATGAGTTTAGTTCTCAACTTACATTTTAGTAGATTATAGTTTTAAGAGAATTCTAAGGAATCTCTCTTGTAGAATAGATCTTGATTAAGATCTATTAATTCATCTTGTTAATAAACTATTTATTATATCTGTCTTGAAATTATATTTTGGAATTGGGCTACATTTTAGCTAGTTACAATAAGAACACTATCATTACTTACCTTTAGATTAACTTTAAAATAATAATAGAAATATTCTTGTTAATAAATTTTATAAAGACTCTCCTAAACATTACTTTAAGCATGTGATCACTTTTATCATGTGCTTTTGTAATATTAGATTTAATACTCACTCTCATCTCAGAATTCGTACCAAAAAGGTAATAGTATGTAATTCAAATTTTTTTTTAAATTTATTCTACTAACTTATTATATATTCAGTCTTTGATATTGATAATATTATAAGAATCTAAATTCAAATATTTTTTAGGATTAGAAGATATTATTTAAGCTCAAAAAAAATTAATTTAATTATAAAGAAGTATCAGTAAAAAGAAAATCTGACATATTTAAGAAATTCTTAAATATATATTTTTTTATTTGCAAAATTATAGATATCTAATTATTATATAATAATATTAAAAGATCAAGATTTTATATGATAAGAGATAGTATAAGATATCTAATACTGTATCTAAATACCAATTTTTATTGCAGATCTTATACATAAGAAATATAACTTAAACAAAAATCAGCAAATCTGTAAGAGATTTTTGTTAAAATTATTTGTTTTTGAGTTATAACACTTTTTATATTAAATATAAATATTGGATATCTTATGCTATCTCTCACTATATAAAGCTTTTTTTGTTATTATTTTTTTGAACATACATTTGTATCCAAGACACAGTGCATCGACTGAATGAGATTTATCATGTTCTAATGTTCTAACAAATGTTATTTTGCCAATAAAAATATACTTGCCTCTAATTTCGTGGCGTTATTGGTTTCACTTGTGTATTTATTATATAATATGACCTTAATCCTGGTGACATTGACCCGTGATAGCACAGAAAAGCCTGAAGAAATATTCGAATGTCTTAAACTGGAAAAACAAAAATTGATTAAACTTGATCAAGAGGCGAAAAATGTCAAATCCACTTAAATTACGCTAGCCGAAGCCCTGCGTAGCCTACAACGCCAACGTTTCGCTTCATGAATGAGAGGATTGTTGATCGATGCCTTTTTAATATAAAACTCCATTAAATAAATACGTGTACAAGAAAATGTCTGCGACGAAACTTTTAGTAATAACAGGGCCGCGTGTGCTAACTTCTCTTTCTACTGAAGCCTCGCCGGGGACACTGGAAATAGATCAAACCGGAAAAATAACAGCAATATACGCTAAAGAAAGCGTACACGCGACCGATTATCCGTTTCTTGCTCCTGAAAAATTCATAAAAGTTGGTAGCGAACAAGTGGTGCAATGCGGTCTAGTAGACGCTCATGTTCATTTAAATGAACCAGGAAGAACGGCTTGGGAAGGCTTTGAGAGTGGAACGAGGGCGGCTTGTGCTGGTTCGAATTTTTTTTTAGAAGGAAGAACGCGTCAAATAAGCGGAAATAATTTATTGTATCTTTCTTAGGTGGTGTGACCACTGTTATAGATATGCCATTGAATTCTATACCACCCACCACAACGGTTCCAAATTTACACGCGAAAATAAAAGCAGCTCGTGACAAGTGCTGGGTTGATGTTGGTTTCTATGGAGGAGTAATTCCCGGAAATCAGGCAAATATTTAATTTTCAATTATATTTTTAATCCCTAAGATTATATACCTTTACATGGATTTAAAAAAATAGAACGAATTAGTGCCACTGATCAAAGCAGGCGTTAAAGGGTTCAAAGCTTTTATGATTGAGAGTGGAGTTGAGGAATTTCCGGCGTGTCTTGTAGAGGATGATCTGCGTAAGGCTTTTGAGGAGCTTAAGGTGAGTTTGAATAAGTTGTGTGATGCAATGTTTTATGCCTGACTGTGATTTTTTTGTCGGTATTGATAAGCTAATGTTTATAGGGCCATGATTCATTATTTATGTTTCATGCAGAAAAGGAAGAGAATGAAGAAAAAAATCAATCTGTTATTGAAGAGGATAGTAATAAAAATCAAGCTTACGTTCAATTTTTATCTTCACGACCTCAATCACTCGAGTTAAACGCCATAAAATTAATCGCACAATTAACATCCGAATATCAAACTGTTCGTACACACATTGTACACTTGTCGGCTGCAGACGCGTTACCAGTTATACGCGAGGCAAAAAGAGCCGGCGCTCCATTGACTGTGGAAACGTGTTTTCATTACCTGTGCCTGACGGCTGAGCAGGTTCCCATTGGTGCTACTAAATTCAAGTGTTGTCCCCCGATAAGAGATAATGCGAATAGGGAATTGCTATGGGAGGTCGGTTGATTTTTTCTTTGATGTCTTTCTGCTTGACTTGAGATGAATATGGGATTGTTTATCTAATTTTTTTTTGTTAGGCTTTAAGAGATGGTACCATAGATTCTGTGGTATCGGATCATTCTCCATGTACCGTTGATTTGAAGTTAACAGACAAAGGTGATTTTATGAGAGCGTGGGGTGGTATTTCTTCGTTACAGTTTGGGTTACCCGTGTTATGGACTGAAGCACGAAAACGAGGATTCAGGTACGCGTTTGTACACATGTTGCATGAACACTTAAATATGATATTTGATTTAAACTTAATAATAATAAATACAGTATAAATGACCTTCACAAATGGTTATCACGAAATACAGCTAAACAAGTAAGATTAGATGACAGAAAAGGTGAAATAAAGGTTGGCTTCGACGCTGATATTGTTATTTGGAGTCCAGAAGAAACATTTACTGTAAGTATTTACTTTTTATGCGAATTAAATCATTTGTAAATGATTTTTTTTTCATTATCTTATGTGCGCTAGGTTGCCAAAGAAAACATTCAATTTAAAAATAAAGTTACACCTTATGAAGGCCAAGAACTCTATGGGGCAGTAAAGAAAACTATTTTAAGAGGTCAAATTGTGTTTGATTCTGAAAAGGGTGGAATCGTTGGAAGTCCCATTGGCAAAATGTTGATTTAGTTTTAAATTTAAAATAAGTATTTATTGTGTACGATAAATAGACCGATTTATTATCTTTGTTAAATTAATGTTTTCTTGATCGATAAAAATTTACCTGAAGCATCTGTTAAATTTTGAATGCGATATTTCACCTGCAAACATGAATTTATTGTTGGAAATACCTAATTCGACAATTCTAAATATAAGATGCTATCACGAAGAAACGATCATGCATAATAAATAAATTCCATGAGGACGTATTCCAATATCGGGACAATACTCAACATCACGATTATGATTCATATACGCGCCAATGACATTTTCAAATATGTTTGTATAAACATTCATATCATTGAAATTTTTAATTTTTTGCTGGTACCGATTAATTTCCCCGCGTACACACTTGCTAATCTCTATATTTTCTTTCTCGATGCTTAGATATTCATCGAACTTTGCCTTGAAGCTAGTCGATCCTTGTGCTGTTTTTATTTGATTTTAAATTTCAGATTATTAATGGTGACTTTTAGTTAGCAATAGCATTCATTGTAAAATAATATATTAATATGTATATTTATAATAATGGCACAAGCAAACACATTCTTCTCAAAGGGATTTTGTCTTCCCAACTGCAATTTCTCCGCTTGTATCTTCAAGACCTTCCAAACTTTGTATACTGGTCGATCGCTCTTGTTGACCATTGTCAGTGCCATTAGAACTGGATGGAGACAACAATATCGATGGCTCAAGCGAATCTTTACGTTTCTTTTTTTTTAGTTTTTTTTCTTGTTCCTGTTTTACACGCTTCTCCGGTCGAACAACAATAACGGGGACCGGCGAATTCTGTAGGCAGTACATTGATATGCTGCCCATAAGCAAACTTTTTGCCTGTGAACGTCCTCTCGTCCCAACAACCAAAACTTCGGGCCGATATAATTCTATCTAGAATATTTGTAGATTATTAATACAATTTATTTCGAAAAATAAGACATAGGATATACAGTCATCCCTCCATATAATCACGCCCTCAGGACCAGGTTGTGACTGTATAAAGATCAAATTTTTGGTTGAGTGCGATCATATAAGGGGAATCATATAGAGGGACAACTGTAATATTTATATGATACATACCATATGCTGAATGGTGTCTTGAACTTTGCCAATCACAAATTCCACGATAATATTAATCTTTGAAATTTAAGAAAAAAAGATAATTAAAAATCGAGAAAAAATAAATACGAATCGAGTTTCAAAAATTGTAAAACAATTACAGCTTTTTCATCATTCATTTCAATGATTTTTTGCATCAATAGATTAGCATCTTCTATCGTCTACAAAAATTATTGTATAAAAGTGGTGATTGATGAAATCAGCAAGAAAAGCTAACTTTCCCAATAACATGATTGTACTAATACCTTTTCTTTCTGAGCCTCAACGGAGGAAAGCATTGAACTCTTTGAAACTAAATTTTTAAAAGCAACCACGAATTTGTTTGTTCACAAGAGCGCTCTCTTATTACGCCTAACAACCCTAGAAATGCATCATACATACACGAATCCATAAAATCGAACGGAACAACTCGCAAAGCAACAACCTCATCGTTAGTATCCAGCATATTTTCCAACAACCATTCAACAGCATTATCGCTATATTCTTCCATGTCGGTGGCGACTAAGAACGTACGTGACCATTTGGTTCGTTTGTAGCCGGCAACTTTTTTTTGCAAGGTAAAGGAGAACTCACGAGAGACTGTTTCTTGAGGAGAGAAGGTGTCGAAACCGACTCTATATACACATAAAATCTCGCAAGAATAAGAAAAGTGACAGTTTCCGGCAAGAAGGAAGTGGCAAAAGAAAAAGAAATAAGTGCCTTGAAACATATGGCTTCGACGTAGCAGTAGAAGTTTCTATAGGAATTTCCATTTTTGATTTAGTCGGCGAAAGAAGTTGAGCTTTGAAAATTCACGGACTTAAAAATATCAAATTTCGATATGAATATGTAGTAATTCATTTTTACCGAAAAATGGTTTAAAGTGGTACTAGAACTTTAACGGACAACAAATTAATTTACGTATCTATGCAAACATGCTTTTTCGAGAAATTAATTGATTTACGATCATTTATCACAAATATATATTCTCGCTGTTAAAAAATGGGACTTGTTATAAGCAAATTATGGCGAGGCTTAATGAGCAAAGAGGAAGTGAAGATTGTTTTAGTAGGGCTGGATAATGCAGGCAAAACTACTGTGTTATATAAACTGTGAGTTTCAAATTAGCCAATATACTTGTAATAAAAAAAACCTAAATTATCTTTTGAACTCATCTTAGTTTATTAAATGAAGTTGTAACAACGACACCCACAATAGGAAGTAATGTTGAGGTAAACTCTTTTATCGACATACCTCTTTTACCGTCATGTACCAAATCAAATAATTAAATGAATAATTTCTTTCAGGAAATCATATACAAAAATATACGTTTCTTAATGTGGGTGAGTTGATGTCACTCAATTCATTGTTTGATCTTTGTGCAATTCAAGAATATAGATACATATTTGAATAATAGGATCTAGGAGGTCAGGATACTTTGCGTGCTACATGGCGCACATACTATGTGAAAACGAGAGCCGTGATAATGGTTATTGATAGCACTGACAGAGATCGATTACATATTTCTAGGGGGGAATTGCATGCTATGATGGAAGATGAGGTTAGACTTTATGGACTTATTGGTTTCAGTTTTATCATCGTGAAATTATGTTTAGATTTCATCTACGGATGTTAATTTTTTTAGAATTTAAAAGGAGCAGTATTACTGGTGTTTGCTAATAAACAAGATATGAATGGCGCGTTATCAGCAGCACAAATCTCCGAATCACTTAATTTAACCAGCTTACGCGATAAGCAATGGCATATACAGGTAAAATAATATTGTCCGTATGATCAAGAAGGGAAATTTATTCACAAATTATCATTAACTTATTACCATGTGATGAAAATTCGCAGGCTTGTTGTGCATTATCAGGTGACGGGTAAGTGACACACATAATCTTTATGGTTATAGTTAATCGTAGTGCTTATAGCTATGCGATCGATTATTAGTCTGTTTGAAGGACTGGATTGGATAGTCAGCCAAATAGGAGGAAGCAATAGCAGTTGATGAATGTTTTGATGATACGAGTTAACTTTGATAGATTTTTATATAGAGGTGAGAAAAATTATTTCTTTTTTTTTGATTTCTTATTTTTCAAATATAGTTGTTTATTTTTAGTGTGTGTCTTGAATATTAATGTCGGTCATGACTGCAGGAATTTATCAACTATATTTATCAGTTTTATTTGTCATGTAAGTTACCCAATTCATTTCTTATATCCTTATAGGTGCTCCTTCCGTTAATGCAAATCATATTAAACTAATTGGAATATACCGCTCTATTAATTTTAAATGCGAAATAATACGATCAGAATGTTTAAAGATATTTCGATTTTTGTCGCGTCTCAAGAAAAATTGAACACGCGGAAATTATTTGTCAAATGATCTGTTCTCAGTTACACAAGAGAGTAAACATTACAAACATTACCGTTACAATGTTGGTAGATCAACGAACCGATATTTTTATGTAGCAAATAAAACTAATTAGGAAAATTGGGTTATTTTTTTACTTTTATTTTAAAAACGATCGTTGCTATATACCACGAAACACAGCCCCGAACATATTATAAACGAAATTCGCTCAAACTTTCTAAACTATTATAATAGAGAATTAGTGCTTTTACATCTGTTTCGTAATTATGATGAATCATTATCGACTCATAAACCGCGTTTTTAATTTAAATATTTGCATAAACGCCCAAATAATAAAATTAAATTGGCTTTAAACATGACAAAAAAATGACGATATCTCAAAGGATATGATAAAATCTTTGCGCCTAATAGAAACATCATGATAGTTTATTATATCACGAAGTTAAAGTTAAAATTTCATTATAAATGAAGGTGCTTGCTCTCGAATAATAATAATAACCTGTTTTTTTGTTAAAAATAATAATCAATTTCTCAACATGACCTCCACAGAGAATGAGCCTGTATGTGGTCGTTATTATATACGATTTCGTTTCAATTACAAATAATTTATTGCATTTATCGATTCTTTTTTTTTCCTACATGACTGAAAAGGTTTCCGATACGAAAACAACAATTGGAACCAAAGTACTCAAAGCAGTCACTGGAGCAACACAAAACTTTAAACCTTTGTCGAATATTCATGAGCACGTATGCGGGTTTCACTTCTATGCGTAAGAAATACTAATACACACACTATTATTATTATTATTATTATGAGATTTTTTCCTTCAAATCTTATTCATATCACACTACTTAAATAAATAGTCATGACATGACACGACAACTTGAAGTGCACCATTACTGTTCACATCTTAATAACGATGTTCGTCAATGCGTACTCTATGATTCGAACGAAGCGAATGCTCGATTGATTGGAGTAGAATACATCATTTCCCCTAAATTGTTTATGGGTTCGCTCTTATTTCTATCTCGTCGTTTTGCTAATACTTGTTTGTTAACTATTAATCAACCTTTGAAACTCCTTTATTACCAGGCCTTCCTGAAGACGAGAAAAAGTACTGGCATTCGCACGTCTATGAAGTGAAATCTGGCCTGTTGACCGCTCCAATGGCTTCCGCGATCCCGAAAAGTGCCGCGGAACAAGCCGAAAATAAAATTATGGAAGATTTAATCGACACCTACGGAAAGGTAACGTAAATAATAACGAGTTTAAGAATTCGAACGAATCATTATTAAATTCATATTATTCAATAAACAATAGACTTGGTTTTTCTGGCAAGTTGATCGTGGTGACCCATTACCATACGGTTGGTTTGTTTTTCTTGGATTGACGTCAAATTTCAAAAATAAATAATCCGTGCTTCACGATTCACAATTTTCTTACAGGGCCACCTCAACTCGTGATGGTGCCACTAGATGATAGTCAAGTCGACATGAGCAAAGTTCTGGCACGCGACGAGAAATTCAAAGTTTCTACTGCAGATAAACGTAAAGTACGCGAAAAAATCTTTCCAAAATACAAGTTAGATCCGGCTGCGGATCATTGGGCAACTCGAGCAGACGGGCAAGCGTACCAAACTGATGTGGTGCTTGTTCCACAAAAGAAAAAGACTTGAGTTGTCTCGGAATACGCGTCATTTACATGTTTATTAGCTAGTTTCCTATTCTCTAAGAAAACTGTTTGTATTTAGTGAATATAATAAATAACTTTTCACTCCTCTAATGATAATTTGAGTTTTTCATAATACGTGTTGCTTATAGCTAAATTAGGAATGGTTAAATACAAAAGATTGAAAGATGATATATTTCGAAAAATATTCAAAATTTCTGGACTTATGACAAATCTCAACGATTATTCGGTTTTTTCTTTGCCTTTTACTATATTGTTTTTCATATAATAAAAACTCATTTTTTTTCTTTCGTCACCACTTCTTGTGTTATTGCGATTGACTGGAAAATTTATCATAGAAAAAGCCATGAGAACTGTAGTTGTTCATGCATTATAGAACAACTTTAACGGATATTCTTTTATCTAATAATGAGCCATGTTATAATTAAAAAAAAAAGAAGCTAATTCAGGCCATAGATTTGATTCAACTGCATTCGAGACAACAGGGTTTAGAGTGTCTCCGTTAAGTACGGCAATAATTAAAAAGACAGACATAGCGTTAAAAAAAATCATCTACACGTTAAACTACATAATTTACAAAGTTACCAATTGAATTTTTCAAGCAAAATTTCTATGAGCACGACACCAATTACAAAATTCTCAATAAAAAGGCTTCCCCTTTCACTTAATATGCTAAAGTCAACGTGAAAATAACTCTATTGACTTTGGAAAAAACATGCCGAATCCCGTTGTCAAAATGATATCTCACGAAAATACGCGTATTCGTTACCTTGTGTGACAATATTTTTATAGATCAATCTTACGTCATTCGAGTTCATGAAAATTCGATCAATAATTTTGGAGTGAATTATATCATTATAATATGTCCTCTCAAAGCTTGCCAGAATACGAACCAGCAGCTTGTCTATCGGTACCTGATAAACAATTTTTTGTGGTTGAATATCCAGGTCGCGTCAAAAATATTGATAAAGTTCTAAAAACACTGGGAGGACAAAGAGGACTTAACAGAGTAGAGTAGCGTGCTAATTGTCTTCTTTCTGCGCAAAAAAATAAGCATGATATAAACATGTTTTACGGGGTACTTTGTGGTCTCGAATTTTCATCATTCATCATAGGCAATAAATGAAAATCTGGTCGAATTGCGATATCGCGTAAATGATCCCTTTTGTCATCCAATTAATGGTGATATTGTTCCTACCGCGAATTTCTTGGTAAAAGTGACTCGTAGGCGAAAAAAACAAAAGAAAAATGAGGATCGTCAAAGTGAAAGTGACATAACCGATGAAAGTAATATTAAATATGAAATCAAGGGTATTATTTCAAAGACCTGTCGCTTTCGAGGTAAATTAGGCGTGTGCGCTCAATCTCGGTTTAGATTGTCAAAAGAAGTGGATTATGTTTTTAACTTTTATAGGAATGGCGGATTTTCAGTACATTGTAAATTCGGACAATCCAATTCGTAATTTTCGGAAATCGCTTGAAAGATTTGATGGTAGATATCTAATGTGCATTCGATAAAATCTAGTTATTCAAAGAAATAAATGATCGTAAATCTCATAAATAAATAGTTCAAGAGATAGAAAAGTTTGATTATAAAACGGAAAACGAAAAAATTAAACCCCCTCTTAATTTGCCTCCACCTTCATTCTCAAGAGCCGAATGTCCAATGGATTACGGGTATACCGAGCGAAAAGAAATTTTAACATTCATTTTTCCATGAAATAATTCACATGTAATTAAGTATCGCTTTTTAATGATAGTTATCAGCAAAATACCGCAGTGATCAAAGTATTGATTCAGAAAGATGCCAATCAGGTGAATAAATCAACAAGCAAGGAGGATTTTATTAAAATATTCGATCGTAATATAATTCTCATCTTGTTATTCTTTTGAATTCAGGAGCCAATGTTAAAACTGATCAATCGTAGCCGTCGATATAAATTTCTCGCGATTTCCATCTCTTTCGATGCAAGAAACGTCCCAGATAAACCTCCACCTGATGTGGTAAAATACATGCAAAAATTGCCTCATGAAAGTCGTGATCAAGTAAAAAAAGTAAATTCCCTTTTTTTCTTATCGTTTGAGAAATCGATTCTTTCTACCGATATGATAGGCAAATTAAGAAATATTATTTTCTCCAGCTTTTTGAGAGCCGCCCGATATGGACTAAGCTCGCATTGCAATCCAATTTAATCGTGGATAAAAAAATGATCAAAAAGTAAGAATATCTTCACCTATGATATACTACTAGGTGGTTTTTTTAAAAAAATTCATTTTTTCTCAAATAGATTATTACCGTTGTATGCATATTGGATGGTAAATGGACCATGGCGAGATTGTTGGATACGATATGGTTACGACCCACGAAAAGACAAGAACGCTAGATTGTATGATCTTTTTTTCAGTATCACTCCATATGAGTTATTATAATGTTTATTCATGCTAATCTTTAACCGTTTTATAATTATACAGTTTACAGCTTCTTGATATTCGTAACAATAGGCGACCGGTGAGAATAGAACGGGCAAAACGTGTTTTGCGTGGACAATCAGATTATGTAGTAGATACCATCGAGGAATCAACGACTATCAATAACGAATCTGAAAAGTAAAGATTAGATAAATTATTTTCTCGTTGCTATTTTTGTTTTAACAAATATTCTTGTGTATAAACAAGCTCGACTTCCCTATATAAACACCTCTTTGACGGAAAAACAAAACCCCGTGACGTGGCTGTTTATCAAATGTGCGACATTGAAGACCCACTCCTTAAATCTTTAATTGAATCCCCGGATGGAGTTGAAGAAATATGTCACGTAAATAATATTATTGCTATTATAAAAATGTTATCCTTTATTAATTCAAATAATCTAAACAAATGAACTAAAGTGGGTAGTCTATTTTCCTTAACAGAAATCATATGGATTCTATAAAAGATCTCACGTAGAAAAAATGCGCAAAGTTTTGCGGCGTAAAGTGGCCGCATTAGAAAATGGTGTAACATTAGCTGACGATGAATTTAAAGATTTATTGGAAAATGAGGATGATGAGAATGACGAGGTTGAGGACGAAAATGATGAGAACATGAGACTAGAATCGGATAATGATAAATCCAAAGAGAAACAAATAGAAAATAGGGTAATCAAATCAAGTTCATTAATTCGGATTTAGCGCATTCGTTATTGTCTTATTCTTAATTGCATTATTGTTGACATCAGCACGCAGAAACACAATCCAGTCAAAATAATGGTAGTAATGTTTGTTAAACCCAATCGTTTTGATCTGGTGATTTTAATCTTTGCTAACCACAATTTTTTATAGGAGAAATTCTGCGAGAGGATGATGATGAACTTTATCAGTTTGAGAACCTTGAGGAATTCGAAAATGTATTTGGAGATGATGATGAGGAGGATGACGATGATGATGATGATGAAAATGAAGAGGAAGAGGAAGAGGGTGATGGTGATGACAGTGATGATGATGACAACAATTATTATTTGGGTCATGAATTAGAAAATGCAGATGATGAATAAGATAGTGATCAAATAAGTAATACTTATTTGTTTCGTTTGAAGATTCACTAATAACGACAAAAACTTGGGAATCCCGTATAATCTGAGGTGCTTAGATAGTCAAAGCGTAGCTTGTTAAGATTTCCAAAAACATAAAACAAGTTTTTTTTGAAACATCGTAGAAAAAAAATATTTGGATATGATGGAGCCGAATAAAAGTTTACGAAATACCTTTAATATTAAAAAATTAATCATATACTTGTTCAATTTCCAATGGTTACAGTAAAAATTAATATTTTACAAAATTCTTATTAAAGATATATACAGAAATTGCAAAATCAAGGTTTATAATTAAAAAAAATTCTTTGAGATTATATCAAAATACGCACTAACATGATAATTTCTTGAAAAAAGAATTCACAAAAGATCAATCAGTCAAAAAATCATGAAAATATTGAATATAAAATAGTCTTTGTGACGAAAATACGTTTATCAATATTATCGTATACTTTCATGTTATGAATTTATTGTGCAATACATATTACTTAACTTCAATCTTCAAAAATTATTTAATTTTCTTTTCAAATATAATTATAAAAAGATTTAACTTATATTTTAATTAAACTAATTTTGTTATTAAATATTCTGTTATAATTTATAAATTAATTATTTTATAATAGTATTATTTATATTTATATATATAAAATATTATAACTTTTATATAATATTTCTAATTAAATATTTTATTATAGTTAGATTCAAAAATATTAGAATATTTATATTAAAGATTAATTATTTTAAGCTTTTTTTATGATTTATAATTATTATAAAAAAATTTAAATAAAAATTAAATTTTAAAATTAATTTTTTATATAAATAAAAATATTAATTAAATATAATCAAATTTAATATTTTTAAATTAAAATTTTTAATTAATATATTAAATTTAATTATTTTATAATAACAAAAAATTTTAATATAATTTAATAAAATGATTATTAAGAAATTAGATTTTAAATTTTATTATATATATTATATAAAAAATAATTATATATCAAAATTTAAAATTTAAGTTCTAATAATTATCTTGTTAAATTTTTTATTATTAGTATAAAAAACTAAATTTTAATATAATAATTTTTAATTATTTAAAAAGTTAAAATAAAAATCTTTTAATAAAAAAATTATAAATATTTTAAATTTGAATTAAGAAATAAAAATTAATTATATAATAATTTAAAAAAATAAAATACTAATTTTAATATATTTATTTTAAAACTTAAAATTTTTAGTAATTTTTAATATAATATTTAATTTATATAATTTTAATAAATTAAATAATTTTTTTAAATTTAATTAATATTTTAAAATTAAAAAAATAAATTTTTAATTAAATTCTAGAAATTTTATTTCTAATTTAATAATTTTTTAAAATTAAACAATTTGAAAATTAAAAATTAATTAAAAATATATAATTTTATTATTAAATTTTATTGAATAATATTAATTTTTTTAAATTTTATAATTAATTATTCTAGATCTTTATAATATTTTTTGATTTTACACTTTTAAAATTCAATAATTTTTTAAAAATATACAGTGGCAATCAAAAATAATATAATGCTTAAATTTTTTACTAATTATAATTAGTAAAATACGTATTTTTTCCTATATATAAAAGTTTTTAATTTTACTAACAAATATTTTTTATTTTTAGCTCAAAAAATAGCTAAAGTTCTCTAGTTT